TGGCTGAAGGACAGGGAGCTGGTCCCAGCCCCGCCTGCGCAGGTCCCGCCCTCACTGCCCCGAGGTGTCGGCTGGCGCGGGTTCTGGCAGCGCCGTTTCCCTGACTGTGACCCTGAGAGGAGCACTCACCGGCACGGGCGACAACACGTGAGGGTGAGGGTGAGGGTGAGGGTGGGGGGCTCGGGTCTGTTCCTCCAGGCCATGCTCTCGCTTCCTCACAGGCTCCGGGGGGCAGGAGGGAGCGCCCCCCACAGACAGGTCCCCTGCGAATGCCAACACACGCCCTGTTTCCTACAGGCCCAGTAGCCACCATGACCTGGAAAATGCCGATGGAATTTCCATTAAAATAAGGCAGACAGCCCTGACCGGTGTGGCTCAGTGGATAGAGCGTCGGCCTGCGGACTGAAGGGTCCCGGGTTCGATTCCGGTCAAGGGCATGTACCTTGGTTGCAGGCACATCCCCAGTAGGGGGTGTGCACAAGGCAGCTGATCGATGTTTCTCTCTCATCGATGTTTCTAACTCTCTATCCCTCTCCCTTCCTCTGTAAAAAATCAATAAAAGATATTTAAAAAAAAAATAAGGCATACACCAGGCTGAAGGCTTTCACCACTATCGTTCAGCATTGATAAGAAATTTAGCTATCAGCCCGGCCGGCGGGGCTCAGTGATTGAGCATCAACCAATGAACCAGGAAGTCAGGGTTCAATTCCCAGGCAGGGCACATGCCCGGGTTGGGGGCTCGATCCCCAGTGTGGGGTGTGCAGAAGGCAAGCAATCAATGATTCTCTCATCATTGATGTTTTTATCTCTCTCTCCCTCTCCCTTCCTCTCTGAAATCAATTTTTAATATTTTATCAGCATTGGATTATGAATCTAAGAAGGGCATTGGTGAAGTGATAAGGAGTGGGGGTAAGGGAGTGTGGGGTAGGTGGAAATATCTGTTTGATTTTCTAATTGTGCATTGAGACACCATATTAGCTGGGAAATAGACTTGGACTGCTCAGAGTCACAGATTCAGGACTGACTATCATTCTAGCACTAACTGTATAGCATTGGTGAGTTATATCATTTTTAAAAATCCAACTTTCTCATCTTTAAAGTGGGATAACAAATCCTGCCTCAGAGCATTATTATATTAATGACATGAAAGTTTTACAAATAGAAAGACATCCATACAGGGCCATTGGATTTTTTGTTGTTATTGTTAATCCTCACCCAAAGATATTTTTCCATTGACTTTTCAGAGAGAGTGGTGGTGGTGGGGGGAGGGACACAGAGAGAAAAACATCCACATGAAAGAGGCACATCGACTGGGTGCCTCCTGCACATGCCCCAACCAGGGCCGGGAATTGGGCCTGCAAACAAGGTAGGTACCCTTGACCAGAATAGAACTCAGGACTCTTCAGTCCTCGGGCTGACATTCTATCCACTGAGCCAAATCGGCTAGGGCAACCATTGGATTTTAGGGATGCAAAAAGTGAACCTCATCTCCCTCCTAGTCTTAACTCAGGGCGTCTCTCTGCCAGCTCCTCAAATCATCTGTGCTTAACACTTAACAATCTTCCATGGAAATTTCTTTGATCCATTTTCTCTAAAAATTTGCTGGCTTAGCACCAGGGCCATGATCTGACTTTCATGGGCCTTGGGCACTTTTGCCCTTGTGGGCTTTTTCCTCCATAAAAACAATGAAAATTATGTTCTATAAATGTTCATTTTCTTCTGATTTAAAAATAAATTTAAATACTTTTGTGAGCCCTTAAAATATCTTGGGTCTAGTTACTCTGCCTACTAAGCTTAATGAATAAGCCAGTCCTGGTTAGCTCCAACTTTTCACTTGTGATACTTTTTTTCCAGTTGTTAAGAATAACTCTCAATCTCCTCTTTTCTTTTTCTCTTTGTTGTACACATTAATGTTCTTTAATCTTTCTCCACAGACTCAATCCTCTTATTCTTTTATCATCTTGGTTGCTCTCTTTGGGTTCTAGCCAAGGTATTGATGTTTCTTTTTGGTAAGAGTAAACTTATATATGATACTCTGAGCCACCTGATATCAGCCATACTGAATAAAATGATTTATTTCTTCCTAGGATATGTGAGGAAATAAATCTACTCTTTTGAACTTTTCGAAGTGCATTTGTGCTTTTTAATTTGTATTTGTTTTTAGTAGCTGTCCAGGCATATTTAATTACTTCTGAACTTTTACCCTCAGCTTCTACTACTTTCCAAATGTCATTGTTTCATTTGTCCCTTTTTTGACTTCATACACAGAATGTCCTCAAATTAATAATAAATCAAACACTTAGCCATGGAGATTCAGCATACCATCACCTGTCTCCAAAGTGTAGCCATTATAAGAAGGGAGCAACCCAAGGGACCCAGATTTTAAGAGGATTTATCGAGGCCCCGGAGAGACAGTGAGGGGGTGAGCCTGACCACAGTGCGTGTGGGGACTGCTAGGCCCCAGACCCCCTCTTCATCCCCATCAGGTACAGGATGGACCAGAGCGGCTGTGGCCTGGGAGCCCCTCGCCGGGCAGAGATGGCAGGGCTGGGGGGCAGCCTGGACCGCGCTGCCGCCTTAGAGAGAGAGACGTGTCCCCGCTGTTCTCCATGGACGGCACGCAGGTCCTGACCCGCACGCACTCCCCGCAGCCCCGGGACAGCTGTCGGGGGAATGAGACGGCATCAACCAACGAGGACCCGGTGGCAGGGGGACCCGAAGCAAAGGCTAAACCAGGACACACAGGGCGACAGGGTCCGCAGACCTGGGAACCTGAGGCCACAGGCGGCGGCGGGACCACGGGCAGCAGGGCGTGT